CAAAAGAAGTCCGGAAGAATAAGACTAAGAATTCGAAGCAACGGGTCAGAAGGCGAGAACCTACTTTGAGCTCGTCTCTTGCACTTGTTTATTTCGTTGGAAAAGGGCTTTTTCGTTTTTCTGACTTTCAATTCTGAGGTTTTGAGGAAACGTTTCGAGAATGAGTCTAAAACGGCTGATGGATACAACTATCTGAAGATCATAGGGGTAACGTCTCACCGATATCACAGACTGAGTGATTTTGGCGGACTTCAGGACACAGAGGTTTCTTGTCCGCCTCGGAGTCGGCAAGGGTCGTTTCAGCAGCGCCACGAGATGAAGCTACAAAGACAGCAACAGAAGGTAAAGCTGCGACAAACGAGAACCCTGATACATACCTTTAGTTTTTATCACAGATAGTCGCGGGGGTACCGGAAGAGTCAGAGACTGCTTCGATGTACCTTGCATTTCGAAAATCACCGGTGGCCGGAAAAAGTTGAAATTGACGCGCTCTTTGTAGGTGGTCATCCAATCGTCGAGGATTGTAGAGTCATCTGAAGAACAAAAAAAGTTACGTTAAAAATGACTGACAGCCATTAATTTATTGCCAAGAATTATGAAATTCGTTTAGCATGCATGGGGAACAAAAAGAAAAAGGGCATTTCCTTTCTAACGTTAGAAAACGGCGAGCGGTAGTCGGTCACTACCTCACAAGTCTGGCTGGGAAAAGGCTAAACTCATTTACAAAGATTTTCAAGCAACTGCAATAATGAAACTGCATCGTCACAATCGTTAACTACATAATCAAACGCAGCATTCACAGTTATAACGCATCAGAACATAGAACCTTTCATGCGAATGCCTGAAGAAGGGAAGGAGAAAAAACTAGTACTATTGCAATCAACCGGCCAAAGATCCCGACAGAGACGGTCAAAAATGACCTGGGGCATATGCCTCGACGGATTCTGTTCCAGAGTGGGATATTCTTCTTCCGAAACTCAGACGTTGACACAGGTTCAATTGCTGGATCAATCTGACGCTGTCACATCGGCGACCCATAATAATACGTGATAGTCGGAAACGAATGACCGGGTGATATAAAACCCACGATGAATGGACCCATGACTGTGATCATTTACTGAGCAAACACAGGCTAAATCGTTGCTGGGGAAAAATCTAAATGTGAGATTCACACTGCGGTTCTACCAATCATATACGTTACTTATAACAAGATTTTACCTAAGGCAAACTCGTTGTCTTTGTCGAATGTAGTAGTAGACTCTGTCTTCTATGGCATGGAAGAAAATAACTCTTTCTCCGCATGGCTAAATAAAATAACTACTTGGAGCAACAAGTGACAAGGAGTAAGTTGTTCATGGTTGCAACGTTTATGCCACGTACGCACTTAAACACCGTTCAGTTGCGGCCTGCTTAAACGATCCCCGCAGGAGACTAACAAGCAAGGTGATGGAGCAGTACTATGGTAGCGATTTTCATCCGTCATATACTAGCGTAGTATCAGTGCAACCAACAAATTAGGTTCGTTGTCAAGACACTATGGTTGACTGTTCGATGCAAGCAATCCGCTGGACTATTATACCTCTGAGAACGTTATAAGGATTCACTGTTCGGTGAAATCACATACTTCTAGTTTTCAACCACGTAGAAGATGACACTGATAACTAACTTCAGAAAAATACGAGTGTTGAAAAATTTGACAACCTGGAATGAACTCGCAGTAATGGGGAGGAAACTGCATCCTGCTCAACCGCCGTGATGTAGTCATTGAATAAATGCATGCTGGGCCATAAATTAGCAGCACTGGGGTAGGGAGAACAAGGTGAGAAACTGTCTCTCTGGGACCAATTTT